GATGAGAGACGAAACGTTTCTAGATTTTTTTGCTTTGTTTTGTTTTGTTTTTTTTGTTGTTGTTTTTTTTTTTTGAATGTCCAGAGGACCAGATTGAACTTTTTTGGATGAATTTTGAACCATTTGAAGATTACGGATTAATTTGTGAGGCAGACCAAAGAGGAGAGAGTTACAGTAATCGATTCGAGAAATGACCAGACTGTGGACCAGGATGGAAGCAGAGTGTGGAGAGAGGGATGGACGGAGACGGTTGATATTTCGAAGGTGGAAATATGCAGACCGGGTAATACTATTGATGTGAGAGTGGAAAGAGAGAGTGCTGTCAAGAATGACACCCAGACTCTTGACGTGAGGGGAGGGAGAAACTAAGGAGTTGTCGATGGTGAGTGAGAAACTGTTAACTTTAGATAAGGTGGATTTAGTGCCAATGAGTAGAAACTCTGTTTTATCGCTGTTTAATTTCAGGAAGTTAGACGTGAACCAGGATTTAATTTCAGCTAAGCAGGAAGTGAGGGAGGAGGGAGAAAGTGAAGAGTTAGGTGCAGTGGATAAAAAGAGCTGGGTGTCATCGGCAAAACAGTGGAAATGGATGTTAAATTTACGAAAGATATTACCAAGGGGGAGAAGGTAGATGATGAAAAGAAGGGGCCCCAGGACAGAGCCTTGGGGCACACCTGAAGTCACAGGAGAGGAATGGGATCTGAATGATTTCAGTTGGATGAACTGAGTGTGGCCAGAGAGATTTCAATATGATTGCTTGCACAGTGCTCCTTGGGATGTTTAAAGCTTGGGAAATCTTTTTGTATCCAAATCCAGCTTTAAACTTCTCCACAACAGTATCTCGGACCTGCCTGGTGTATTCCTTGGTCTTCATGATGCTCTCTGCACTTTGAACAGAACCCTGAGCCTATCACAGAGCAGGTGCATTTATACAGAGACTTGATTACACACAGGTGGATTCTATTGATCATCATCAGTCATTTGGGACAACATTGGATCATTCATAGATCCTCACTGAACTTCTGGAGTGAGTTTGCTGCTCTGAAAGTAAAGGGACCCAATAATATTGCACGCCCCACTTTTCAGTTTTTTATTTGTTAACAAAGTTTGACACATCCAATAAATTTCATTCCACTTCACGATTGTGTCCCACTTGTTCTTGATTCTTCACAAAAAATTAAAAGAGTCATGTTACCAGGAGTGGGACATGACAGGATTTTTTTTCTGTGGGACCAGGACAGGACAGGAGTGAAAATCCACTCCTGTGTCATCCTCTAGTAGAGAGCTGGCTGACATGATGCAGAGCAGGAAGGTAGATGGTTTGTGTCCAAGAGACCAAGTGGAAGGGCAGCAAGGATCAAAGCATTGGAGCAGGGTTTAAGCTGTTTTACCATGGTGTGGATAGAAAGAGAAATAGAGTAGGGGTGGTCCTGAAGGAGGAGTTGGCAAAGAATGTAGTAGAGGTGAAGAGAGTGTCAGATAGGGTGATGTGTCTGAAAGTAGAAGTAGAAGGTCTGACTCTAACATTGTCAGTGGTTATGCTAAGGAAGTGATGGGTAGGTTTGGTGTCAAGGAAAGAAACCCGGAAGGACAGATGGTGGTGTATTGCGCCAAGAGAATAGAAATGGCTGTAGTCAACATATATTTCCAAAACAGGGAGGAACATAGAGTGGCCTATAAGAGTGGAGGAAGGAGTACGCAGGTCGACTACATCCTGTGTAGAAGAGGAAACCTGAGGGAGATTGAGGACTGTAAGGTTGTGGCAGGGGAGAGCGTGGCCAGAAAGCATCGGATGGTTGTGTGTAGAATGACTGTTGTTGTGAAGAAGACAAAGAGAGTCAAATCAGAGAAGAAGATCAAATGGTGGAAGATGAAGAAGGAAGAATGTTGTGAGAAACTCAGAGAGGAGCTGTTAAAGGCTCTGGGTGTTAAAAAGGAGCTTCCAGATGACTGGACTACTACAGCAACAGTAATTAGAGAGACAGGTAGGAAGGTACTTGGTGCGTCATCTGGACAGAGAATGGATGATCAGGAAACCTGGTGGTGGAATAGTGAAGTGCAGGAAGATGTTCAAAGAAAGAGGTTAGACAAGAAGAAATATGACAGAGAGAGGACTGAAGAGAGGAGACAGGAATATAAGGAGATGGGACGTAGAGCAAAGCAGAAGGTGTATGATGATTTGTATGGGAGGCTGGACACTAAAGAGGGCAAGAACGACTTGTACCGATTGGCGAGACAGAGGGCTCAGGCTGGAGCAGGTTGAGTCTAATAAACTTATTGAGCTTTTGTTGTTCTAATCTAATTCTTTGGTTTTGATCAATAAAAAAATAGAAGAAAATACATCATTCAAATGAGAAAAAACAATGTGACTGCAGCATGGGAAAGAAGCTAAACTACATATGAACAGGCTATCATCCTTGAGAACACCTAACTTGACTGATGATATTCTTTTGGATTACAGTCAAAACAATGAAGGAATAGACCAAACCATGAGAGGCAGGTGATCATGCTATGGCCTGTGTCTGGATGTATTTGTCTGTTAGTAAAATAGCTCATGATTAACTTTTGGAGTTAACCTAATTCAAAACTTTAACATGCAAAACAGCAGGTAACACGTATTCCTTTAAGGAATGCTAGTTTAATTTCTAAACCTGTTTTTAACAACTACTATTAACTACAATAAAATAAAATGCATTTCCATAACTTAATAAATGTACCAGTGAACAAAAAAAACAAACAAAAAAAAAAGCCACAGTGATTTACTGAAAACTTCTGCAGCTATAACAAATATTTGTATCTGCTCAATTTCACGTGTGGAACTGATTCAAAATCATACTTAGTGTTTCTGTTCATCTGGAAGAAGAATCGTAAATGCATGAGCAATACAGCTGTCATTTCTAACCCGAACCCGGAGCCCGATCCAGATTCAGACCGGACCGGGCCATAATAATGTGCTTAATGTGTGGGCCGGGTCGGTGTCGGGCTTATTATTGCGTCAGGGACACGCGCGGCCGACAATCCAATATATACACACACGGCTTGCCATACTGCACCTGCTGCACGCGGCCATTTGACCGCGCATTGAGCAGCTGGTTGAAAAAGGTAAAAAGTTCATTTAAGCTTCAGATGGACTACTGCCAGCGATCCATCAGCCCAAATGGACGTTCATTCAGCCGCTGCACTCAGCGGATGCACGTGACCGATGACTCAAACAGGTGAGATCACAAAATATCTGACATGTCAGAGCAGGGTCCAATGCAGGCAGAAGCAGGGCAAGCATTTAATGCGCTTTGACGTCTCCTCAGCTCCGATTTTCTGCCCCTTAACAACCGTTAATAACAATCGGTGGTATAAGCAGTCAAAGCTTAATTAAAAATGTTGGGGGTTTTTGGGTTCGGACCTGTAATTACTGTTAATTTGTCGGATCGGGTGGGGTTTGGAGATGATGGCTGCAGGCTGGGTCCGGGTCGGATTATCTGGACCCGAGTGCAACTCTAATGAGCAATAATGTTTCTCTTCGTCATGATATTATTTGAAGTTTATTATGTAGAGGTATTTAAAAATAACTTTTAAAGACCATGGCATAATTAGTTTTTCATCTTGAGTTTAGTATGAGGGTAATAATTCTTTGTTATAGGATTCACTCCCAGACCATGCACTGCCAGATGACCTCACCTCGATGATGTTGTGCATGTGTGGCAGGAGACGATCTAGGCGAACCTCCAGCAGCATGACAAGAGCTCTGCAAACATTCTTCCTCACTTCTGGCTCCTCATCGGTTGCCAGTGCAAACAGGTTCTATAAAAGAAGGAAAAGCCCATCACATTTATTATTATTGATAATACATGGACATATTAGTGAGGTAGAACAATGAAACTCAATTTTTCATTGAATATAAATTTGCTGGGAAGAATATGTTCATTATGGTGAGTTGGTGTTTTTGGGTCCATTTTAAAATTATAGACATGATAAATTGATGAACAAAATTGTTTTTAAGAATATTGGTGGAGTCTGTGGAGAATGGGTCTACCTCCTGGATTTGGGCAGGGGCTGCCCCCTCTTGGACCTGGGGGGTATAGAGTGCGTATCGGGAATAAGAATGAAATGTATCGTTATTGTATGTCTTTGAGTGAGTGAGTGTGAGAATGAGGCTGGGACTGTGATTGTGTCTGTGTATGAATGGGTATTTGTTAGGCCGAGACTCGGACTGCCCCCTCTTTGATACAACTGCGGGGTGCTTGGTATCGCGCCCCTATCGCGCGGCCCCCTGGTGGGGTGTGCCCTTGCCTGCCGGCGCGCTTGGGGCCCTTGGTGTCGGGGGCTGGGCGCTTGGGCGTGTGTCGGCTCGGCCTGGTGTCTGCCTGGTGGGGCTCGGGTCCTCTGGCCCTGTCAGGCCTTGGCCTGGGTGGTGTGAGTCCTCGGTGCCCGGGCCTCGGTGCTCGGAGTTTTTATTATTTCTGTCCCAATTAATTAATTAATTAATTAATGTACACGACAGATAATTAAGAATAACTTCTGAAGGGAAACAAGTATACTATTTAAACTAGGTTTATGGTCTTAACACATTGTTGAAGTTATGTAACTCCATGTAAATAGCATGTTTCTTACAGTACACAATAAATGGTTTGACTTATGACATCAAATTAAACTTGAATAACGTCTAAATGCTTCTTAATGTGTTTGACAATCCCCAAGAGCTGATTGCACAGTGTTTAAATTTCAAATGGAATTTCAATGCTTTTAATTTGAAAAGCCTTTTGCATATTTGACGGCATAGTTGGTAGAGCTGTCGCCTCTCAGCGAGAAGGTTGCCGGATTGTTCTGGGTACAGTAGTCCCTTGTTTATCACGCGGGATCCGTACCCTGAAGCCCCGCGATAAGTGAAAAACTGCGAAGTAGGAAAAGTAACACAAGTAGTACGTAGTAGTTTATTTTAGTGTATACAGGTCCTTCTCAAAAAATTAGCATATTGTGATAAAGGTCATTATTTTCCATAATGTAATGATAAAAATGAAACTTTCATATATTTCAGATTCATTGCACACCAACTGAAATATTTCAGGTCTTTAATTGTTTTAATACTGATGATTATGGCATACAGCTCATGAAAACCCAAAATGCCTGTCCCAAAAAATTAGCATATTTCATCCCACCAATGAAAGACAAGTGTTTTTAATACAAAAAACACCAACCTTCAAATAATCATGTTCAGTTATGCACTCAATACTTGGTCAGGAATCCTTTTGCATGAATGACTGCTTCAATGCGGCGTGGCATAGAGACAATCAGCCTGTGGCACTGCTGAGGTGTTATGGAGGCCCAGGATGCTTCGATAGCGGCCTTAAGCTCATCCAGAGTGTTGGGTCTTGGTCTCTCAACTTTCTCTTCACAATATCCCACAGGTTCTCTATGGGGTTCAGGTCAGGAGAGTTGGCAGGCCAATTGAGCACAGTAATACCATGGTCAGTAAACCATTTACCAGTGGTTTTGGCACTGTGAGCAGGTGCCAGGTCGTGCTGAAAAATGAAATCTTCATCTCCATAAAGCTTTTCAGCAGATGGAAGCATGAAGTGCTCCAAAATCTCCTGATAGCTAGCTGCATTGACCCTGCCCTTGATAAAACACAGTGGACCAACACCAGCAGCTGACATGGCACCCCAGACCATCACTGACTGTGGGTGCTTCACACTGGACTTCTGGCATTTTGGCATTTCCTTCTCCCCATTCTTCCTCCAGACTCTGGCACCTTGATTTCCGAATGACATGCAAAATTTGCTTTCATCTGAAAAAAGTACTTTGGACCACTGAGCAACAGTCCAGTGCTTCTTCTCTGTAGCCCAGGTTAGGCACTTCTGCCGCTGTTTCTGGTTCAAAAGTGGCTTGACCTGGGGAATGCGGCACCTGTAGCCTATTTCCTGCACACGCCTGTGCACGGTGGCTCTGGATGTTTCTACTCCAGACTCAGTCCACTGCTTCCGCAGGTCCCCCAAGGTCTGGAATCGGCCCTTCTCCACAATCCTCCTCAGGGTCCGGTCACCTCTTCTCATTGTGCAGCGTTTTCTGCCACACTTTTCCCTTCCCACAGACTTCCCACTGAGGTGCCTTGATACAGCACTCTGGGAACAGCCTATTCCTTCAGCAATTTCTTTCTGTGTCTTACCCTCTTGCTTGAGGGTGTCAATGATGGCCTTCTGGACAGCAGTCAGGTCGGCAGTCTTACCCATGATTGCGGTTTTGAGTAATGAACAAGGCTGGGAGTTTTTAAAAGCTTCAGGAATCTTTTGCAGGTGTTTAGAGTTACGTCGTTGATTAAGATGGTTAGGTTAATAGCTTGTTTAGAGAAACTTTTCATGATATGATAATTTTTTGGGACAGGCATTTTGGGTTTTCATGAGCTGTATGCCATAATCATCAATATTAAAACAATTAAAGGCCTGAAATATTTCAGTTGGTGTGCAATGAATCTGAAATATATGAAAGTTTCATTTTTATCATTACATTATGGAAAATAATGACCTTTATCACAATATGCTAATTTTTTGAGAAGGACCTGCATATGGTAAATAGACTGTACTTATATCCTGATGCATGCTCAATAATCCAGGTAGAAAAATCCAAAAAAGTTCAATCTGGTCCTCTGGACATTCAAAATTCTGGGCAAGCAAGATTCTTCAGAAGGTACAAACCCAGCTGCTGAATGAACGGGTGAGACAGACCAATTTTACTATTGAGGCCTTGAAGGCCAAAGAAGAGCACATTAAACAGAAACTAACTATGTGTCTAGATCAGACCACACTTCAGCAAGTGATGGACTGTACAGATGAGGCACGCTTTGCACAGCATGTCAAGTCCAAGACTCGACAACAAAATAAGTTTAACTTACTAATAGCTCATCAACACCATCACTATTCCAATAGAAACACATTCAGTGTAGGACAACACTCCAGTAGTCAATTACATGCCAGGGAGACAGAAAAGTGGGTGAAGAATTTATCTGACAGACAGCTCACCCAGCCGGAGACAGAGATTCTTGCCAGGGGACTGAACTTTGCGGTTGCACCAAGTAGAATTCCTCTGGTGGAGATGATCACAGCTACTGAGTCAGCCATCCGCAACAACAAAATTAAAGAGGGTGAAGCAGAACAACTCATAATCAAAGTTTCAGCCTGCCTCAGCAATGCCAAACCACCACCTTCCAACATCAGTAGAGAGGAGAGGGATGCACTCACCACTCTTAGCAAGGACAAAAACATCATCATTCTCCCAGCAGAAAGAATATCATGAGAAAGTTATGACACTCCTTAGTGACTTAAACACTTATGAACCTCTGAAAAGAGATCCAGGAAGTGGTTACAAGAAGAAATTGATAGACTGCCTGAAAATTTTGGAGCAGGACAAGGCTATTGACTGTTTTCTGTACCACAGACTGTACCCAGGGGAGGCCACAACTAGTCTGTATGGTTTACCTAAAATCCACAAACAAGGTGTACCTTTAAGACCAATTGTTAGTATGATTAACTCTGTCACTTACAATGTTTCCAAATATCTGGCGTCTGTACTCATCCCTTTAGTTGGCAGCTCAGAACACCACATACAGAACACCATGGACTTTGTGGACAAGGTGAGGGATGTCATCATGGAGACTGATGAAACAATGGTCTCTTTTGATGTCACATCACTCTTTACGTGCATTCCTGTTGATGATGCAGTAGAGGTGGTCAGTTTAAAATTAAAATCAGACACCACTCTGAGCAGCAGGACCACGCTTTCCACAGAACAACTGTGTCAACTCTTGAAACTGTGCCTGCAGTCAACCTACTTCACATATGGGGAGCAATATTATAGGCAGAAACATGGGTGTGCTATGGGGTCTCCAGTTTCTCCTATTGTTGCCAACCTGTACATGGAGGAGGTAGAAAAGAGAGCCTTGACGTCCTTTTCAGGAACACCACCAAGTCATTGGTTCAGGTATGTTGACGACACCTGGGTTAAAATTAAATCTCAGGAAGTCCAACATTTTACTGACCACATCAACTCTGTGGATAAATACATCAAGTTCACACGAGAAGATGTAAAAAATGGCAGGTTGGCTTTCTTGGACTGTGAGGTCTCAGTCTCTGATAGAGGACATTTGCAAACTGGGGTGTACCGCAAACCCACCCACACAGACCAGTATTTGCAGTTTGACTCCCATCACCCTTTGGAGCACAAGTTAGGAGTCATCAGGACTCTGTACCACAGAGCAGACAGCGTCCCCACTAGCTCAGGAGCCAGGCCGAAGGAGAAATCCCACACAAGACAGGCTCTAGAGCAATGTGGATATCCTAACTGGGCCTTCCTGAAAGCAGAGAAGAAACCCAAACAGGACTCCATTCAGCCAACAGGTGAAAAGGAGGAACCCAGACCCAGACCAGTGGTCATTCCATATGTTGAGGGAGTATCAGAGAAACTGAGACATTTATTTTCTAAACATAACGTCCCAGTGGCTTTTAAACCCCAAAATACATTACGGCAAAGACTGGTTCATCCCAAAGATCCAGTCCCCCGGCACAAACAGAGCAATGTTGTGTATGTTGTTCAGTGTCAGGAGGGTGATCAGTCTTACATCGGGGAAACTAAACAGCCACTGGCCAAAAGGATGGACCAGCACAGAAGATCAACATCATCAGGCCAGGACTCTGCGGTCTACACTCATCTCCAGGCCAGCGGTCACTCTTTCAAGGATGAAGATGTTCACATCCTGGACAGAGAGGAACGATGGTTTGAGAGAGGAGTAAAGGAGGCCATCTTTGTGAAAAGAAACCGTCCATCATTAAACAGGGGTGGAGCCTCCGGGTTCAACTGTCCCCCTCTTACAATGCTGTGATTGCTAGTATCACTCAGCCCTCTGTGAACAGTAAACAGCCATCAGGTGCTAATGATCCATTGTTATGCTGATGGTCCTTCTTGATCATGTGAGCAGCTGGTTTTGGTTGTCAGCAGCAAACTGGTTGATCCACTCTGAGAAGGTGCTATTTAAGAGACTGAGCTGAATACAGCACCTCAGACTGAGGAAGTCTCTCGGATGAGAGACGAAACGTTTCTATATTTTTTTGTTGTTTTGCTTTGTTTTGGTTTTTTTGAATGTCCAGAGGACCAGATTTAACTTTTTTAGACTGTACTTATACAGCACCTTTCTATCTCAGAAGACACTCAAAGTGCTTTAAACTACAATCTGTGCCTCATTTACCAATTCATACTTTGTAGATCTTTGTAGAGATCTAGTATAGATCTCTACAAAGACAATTGAACAAATCATTCTAAAGAGACTAATCAGAGCTTTATCACATTCACACACTGATGGGACACACATCAGAGGCAACGAGAGGTTCAGTGTCTTGCCCAGGGACACTTCAGCATGTGACTGCTGGTGGATTGGAACCCTCAACTCTTGCATTGGAGGACAACTGCTCTAACCACTCAGCCACAGCCACCCTATATATATGTATATATATATATATATATATGTATGTACTGCATGAAGGCGTTTTAAACCCTTCCCACACTCTTGCAATATTCTAAAAGTGCACAGAATGTCATGGTCTCAGCTCTCTGCCATGCCACTTCTGTGCTGCAGAAGAAAGAGAGAGAGACTGAATGGTTGTTTGTCTCTGTGTGTCCCTGTGATGGACTGGAGACCTGTCCAGGTTGTGCTCCGCCTCTCGCACAGTGACTAATGAATATGGGCACGACCCGGAAAGGAAGAAGCAGGTAAAGATAATGGATGGATGGCTTTGCATATTTGAGGAGTTTATTTTTAGAATTATATTATCTTTTAAAATATGGACTGGACGTAAAAAAGTCTGAAACACAGATGTTTTTTTTTTAATACAGTACGTACTTTTCTTGTTTCATGCATATTCAGACCTGGAAAACATTAAAGGTGAAGTCCAATCTGTTTAAGATTGTGTAAGAAGCTTGGAAGGTTTGGTTTGTGAATATTAACTATACTTTACAGGACTTCTGTTAAACTTTAACAAGTCAGGTGTTTGTGTTTCATCTTTCGAACACTTCACTACAGTTCAGTTGTTTTACTCAGGACTGTGTGTTTAAAGATGGATTTCTCTCAGACTCACCTCAATGAAAGGGTCGATGTGAAGCATTAGAGCCTGAGTCCTGCTAATGATAAACTGGTTGACGCAGGCGATGGCGTGAGACCTGAAACACAGAGAGCACTCGTCTTCCTCACACGTTGTACACCATGAAAGTATCCTCTAGTCTTACTGTAGTCCAAAAGCACGTAGCAGGAAAGCACAAAGGTTTTTACAAAAACACCATGTTTGTTTGATTTAATTTTTCTTTAGAAACAAATCAAGAGGCCAATCAAAATTCAATTTGATAAACCATTAATGACCAAGACTGATGTTAAATTTATCTTTGCCCCAAAGTCCTTTTTTTTCAATTTGTTATTCCATGTGCTACGATTTAACTACTATTTTTCACCTTTTTAGTGGTGGAATATGAAATGAAAATGTAAGGTTAGCCAGCAAAAGCTAACAACTGTTTTGATGCAACTGATTGTTTACTGAGAAGTTGTAGTTCAGTTTTAAACTTTAAATGTAATTTCTGGATGCCTGCAGTGGACCTCTTTGCCTCCACTCTTGCATGCTCCCTTCCACTTATTCTATCCTTCCGTCAGGGGGTGCACCGATAAATCGGCCCCGATTTCCTTAACTTTGGGTGATAGGCCGATATTTACTCAAGAAACCAATTTTACAGATTTTTTGGGTAGTTTTAATAATTGTCTAAAAGTCATTTATATTTCAGAGCACTACCTCATGGCCAGTTCAAAGAAGTTTGTGTTGTTTCTAGGGTATTGTTCAAGGACATGTTTTTCAATAAAATAAAATTGGAAACTTGAAGGTGCATTGTGACCTTATAACACCTGACAGTGTCGCTTATAAAACTAAATCGGTATCGGCCAAAATCAGAATTGGCAGATCAGACTTTTTAGAGATGGGTGATGGGTCAGAAAAGTGCAATCGGTGCAGCCCTACTTCCATCACGTTACCCAGAGAGCTGTAGTGCTGTTCACAGTGAACACCATTGGAAAGTGTGAAAAACTCTTGGGTTGTTGAGACAAACCCGTTTATTAGATCACAGCCACATGAAGCCTGGGCCAGTTTCAAAGTATACCATTCTGTGTTGGTCTGTCTCTCCTTCCTGTCCTCTCAACCAGCCAGTCAAAGCAGATGGTCTCTTGTCCTGAGCTGGTTCTGCTGGAGGTTTCTTCCTGTTAAAGGGAGTTTTTCTTTCCACTGTCTCCACTGTGCTTGCTCAGGATGGGAGACTGCAACGAAGCCAAGATTCAACTTGTCTGCTGGATTCCTTAGACAGAGAACTTTACTAACTGGCTTTTATGTGAATGTTTCTGTAAAGTGCCCTGGGACAACTTTGTTGTGATTTGGAGCTATAAAAATAAACTGAACTGAATTGGTGTTAAATGGTCATGGTGTCAAAACCAGTAAATTTTTCTGTCATACCGTTCCTATGGTTCAACGGAAATAGATAAATGAATAAAAGAACTGGAGTGGACATAAGTGGATTCCAACAATTTTCAGTCAGCTCATCTGGACAGTTTCTTTTTTTGTGTTTGTGCTGAAACGTTTCACCTTCCATCCAGAAGGTGTGTTTCCTTGACTGACGAAGCCTTCTGGATGGAAGGTGAAATGTTTCAGCAGAAAAAAAAATAAACCGTCCAGATGAGCTGACTGAAAATTGTTGGATTGTATACCTGGATTGTTGCGCATGGAATAAGTGGATTCCGTTTGTCGAGACTATTTTCATCTCGGACAACCAGATCTCACCTGGAGTGAAACAGAAATGGAATAAAGCTCTCAGTCACGTAACAGATTTCTGTCATCTGTAAAAACGAAAGGGGGGAACAAAATGTGAGTTCTGATGCGGTCTTATTAAAGCCATCCAATCTAATGATGGTACAGGGATTAAACTGACGGGGAGGTCGGGGCACGGTCCGGGAGGAGGGGGTGAAGGTGATGGTGTATCAGTTCTGGTATCTCCCCCGGCTGCAGTGAATTGGTCACGTGCTAACACACACATTTAATAATTTATTACATCATCTACTTCATGAAGGGGCGGGGTGGCTCTGCTTGGGGAGCGGGTGTCCGCCTTGGCTTGTTTCTCTCTGCTGCTCACACCTGGATGAACCAGACAGCACGACCCACCCTGCTCTGCACTGACTGGGTCAAACCGTGGCTCTGGTTCTCTTTACTGGTTGAAAGCAGCATCAGTTTAATCTCTGTATCATCATTAGATTGGGTGGATTTAACAAAACAACAACAAAATACTTTTCCTTCCCCCTCCTCATTTTTACACGACTGAAATCCATCCAGCCACGTTCAAAGCGACAGAACTCCGTTGCAGCGACAGAGAACTTTAATCCAGGTTAGAATAACATATATTCAAACACAAACATGGTTATACCTGATTTTAGGACTGTTGTGCTTGAAAAACTGCAAAAATTTGGGGATCATGATGTTAAGAGGACGATCCAGTAAGTCACTGTCTAGGATCTCTGCAGAGTCTTCACAGATCTTCTGCAGCGCCCCGAAAGCTCCCTGAAGAGAGAGAGAGAGACAAACTGAGATGCAGCAGAAATTTTAAGCACGACCTTCAGGCGGGCTGGACTGCAGCTCTGGGCCGTTCAGATGGAACACGTTTCATTTTCTGATGAATTTTTATGATTTGCCTCCACATCCCACTCAATTTAGCAACAAAATGATGCTAGATGTTAATTATCATGTGCTCTGCAGTGAACAAGTGTGACTCATAGATTATGTTTACATAAAATACAGATTCTCATTCACAGTTTTAGCTTTCACACGCACACACAATCTCTGATATTAGCTGCTTTACAGATGCTTAGTATGCATGATCACAATGTTCTGCAGATTGGGTGTCACTTAAAAATGCAGTCTGGAAAGCAGAAAGAAGAGCACAGACACCGACACTGCGTGAAATGTGTTTCCATGGAAACCAATCTCATGGCAGCATTGCCTTTAGATGACAGACAGTGAGCCATATAAAAAATAAATACATAAAAAAATAAGACAAGGAGGTGTCAAGGTGACAAATGGCAATAAGACTAAAATAAAATATCCTTCAATATTGGAAATATTGGTAAGAAAACTAGGAAAAGCAGGCTCAGATTATATTGTTATGAAAGTTAATTAAAAAGATACAAATAAAAGGTCAAATTATTTCATGTGTTTGAGGCTTGCTGAAGATAGCTGAGGGGACAGTAGCTGTAAACAGGATTGGAAACATCTGCTGAAATATTGCTCCACATTCTGTTCCATGTGAACATCTGAAGAGACAATGAACTCTGCGACATTAAAACGTTACAGGCGTTGGATTGAGAGAGAGGTGAAGAGCAGAGGAATGCTCTGAAGGTCATTCCACACAGGAGTAAAGCCATGCAGGTGACTGCCATCCAGAGCAAAGAGGAATCCAGTTTAATTCTGCTCAACAGCCCTGGAAACATGAACATGACAGAGGCCATGCTCATTTTATGCTCATGCCTGTATACATGCATGTGCTCATATATCTGCTTGAAATGAAAATATCTCAAACCAATGAATACAGTGTAATGAAACTTTCACTGAATAATTATAGAATGCTAGGGCTGGACAATAATTTGATATCGATGTACATCACGATATACTTTTATTCAATAACGGTGATATGAGTTTTAAGCACATTTTCCATATTTCGATATACATTACACTATGATTACAGCGCTTCACCGACGCAGATCTTTTTCTGCTTCTGCGAAGAAGAATCGTCTCGACTCGCCAAAAGAACACACAAAAAAAAAAGCAACAAAAGTGCAAAACAAAGCAGCAAAAAGTGAAAAAGAAATACATCTACAAGGTCCAAAAGGAATATAGTAAACAACATACTAGAATACAACGGTACAAGTAGAATAACCAGTATAAAGTACCTCACAGGCAGTAATCAGTATCAGTGATACATATTGCACACAACATACACCACACAGGTTGTGTGACTGGTCACCAGATGAACTGAACCATGATGGCAAAGCTAAACACTAAGCTACACCCCAACTATTAAACCCAAACACATTAAATACCACAAATCTCATGACTCACTCCCGCTCTTGCTGTCTAAAGGCTCCCACATACTAGGGCGTGCTGTGTGTACTCCATGAGCCGTGCAGACACTGTGAGAGAATTCATACTCGAGCGTACACCCTGATGGGCTGCAGTCCAGCTCTGCAGGCAAGGGGCGTTTTGCCTAAAAAAGTTTAAAAACAAACAAACAAACAAAAAAAACAGGGAGCACTAGTTCTGCAGCATGCACATCAGACCGGCCCAACAGGAAATCTCCAGACCCTGTTGCAGCCACGCCAGACCTGATTTTAATTCTCTCATGACAAATTCTTTAATTTCTCACAATTTCTGTCTGGCTCTCGCTCAAGGTGGACACTCCTGCCCTCACTCCCCTATTCTCCTTCCTCCTGCTTTGCTCTCTGTGTGTGAAGCTCCTGGTACACATCTCCCAAACAAAAATTAAGATTATGGATTTAGTGAGCTGGACTTTCAACGCAATCAACAAAATCTTTTCAACGAAACGACAGGGTCCTGGAGAACCTGCTTGTTCGGCTGAGACTCATGTTGTGGGGTACGTCATGGATCCGTGGAGAGTTTGGCAGCTGATGTGCCTCTCCATCCTCTCAGGAAGACACTGAAGACATTTATACATTTGGATTTATGATAGCAGGAGCTCTGCTTTTTGGCAATGCGGAGCTCTGTTTTATCGACTTTTGAAGAAGACTGTGGCATCAGTTTCAGCCATGACAAAACTTCAGAGTCAGTATGAAGGTTTGGTTCGTGCTATGAGGACTCAAAATCAGCTGATTTACGAGCTAAACCGTAAGATGGAGGCGATTTCTGAGAATCGAAGGCCACCTGCGACTTCTGGAACTCATCAGCATGGCAGAATAGACCTTGAAGGAGGCTCATAACATGGATCAGTAGAATGGATACCCATAACTTTGGCCATTTTGAACCGAGGCTGACGAGGAAAAAAAAAATACTGTTTGCCTGTAGAAAATCAACAATTGTGGCTTATCCAAATCCGACCCCCCCGTTTGGCCTTGGATATGAGCAGACTATCAAATTTCTCCTGGGTCATGGGTAACTAGGGACAGAGCTTTGTCTATTGATGTCTCAAATGGTGTCTTGGTAAGACAAGATGTGACGAGATCTTTTTTGTAATACCACTATCTATCCTCATGGTTCTTCCCCTTTTTCTATCTAAAAGTATTCTGATAAAGAATAGGGGCCGTGCTTTTCAGCAGCAGCTAAGTGCGCTCCGTCCATCTTTTGGAGGAATGTGCAAACATAATTCCACTGTATTGCGGTACAATGATAATAAAGCTTATTCTGATTCCGATTGCAGTTATGGCATCAACGGATGAGGAGGAAGTGATCGCTTGCCTCTTGGCCAAAAAGCAAAAGAAAAGGCCATTAAACCAGACCACGGATGAAGAAAGGGAATTTAATACATTGGTGTTGCATACAAAACAGTCTGTTGCCGGGCAGTTAAATGTGTGACACAGAGTATTTGTACATAAAAACTGATCTTTGCACAGACATGGCTTGAGGGGGTCCACTTCGAGTCCGGATTGAGTCTAATCCGGTACGCACGGACCTCTGCAGAGTGAAGTACGCCTGAGTATGTGGGAGTCTTTAATTGCGCCAAACTTCATTCAAGTTCAGTGTATTTTTCTTCTTCTTCCTGTAGAATCTTGGTGCTGGACAAATAACTGAGCCTCTGTCAGAAAGGAAGGGGGAGGTTATCTGTTAGGCGGGGGTAGGGGGTGAAAGCAGATTGATGGGGGTGTTCCTCTTTTGTTTCGTGTCTCAATAGCTGTGTTTACATGGACATAAGTAAGCGGATCAAACGGCCGTTAGGAACAAAAACGCGTCATGTAAACGCCCCGTTCGGGTTATTTTTTGTTTATTCAGCACGATCAGAAATAATTTGTGATCAGAACCAAACGGGTGGTTTACGCCGATTCATAACCTGAACTGATGTAAACACTCGATCTGTTCGTTTTTATCTGATCGTGAGAAACTGACCTGACTGCGCCTGTGCGACTTTGTCATTTCCTCCTGGCTAACGCTAACAATATTAGCATGTCAGGGAAGCTAAACTGGTCGGTGAGCGACAACATTTCTACTAGAAACTTAGAAAGAGCTCAAAATGATCGGTATCACCTGCAGCTCAGTCAGGGAGTGCAGCAACGTCTCCACCATCATTAAAACCTGTCGCGGGTCCATTTTGGTGCTCAGGTTTGTTTACGTTCACCCCGGAAGTAAACCAGAAGTAGAACTTCTTCTTCTGTGGTTTTTTAAGGAGAGTTTACCACTCTGCACATGTCAGTACTTCTGTTCAGAACAAAGCCCGCTGCAGGTAAACACTCGTCATGAACAGATTGTGCCCATGTAAACAACACATTTGAATTATTTAATCTGAAAACATTTCAATCCAGTCAAAAAATGTTGCGCATGTAAACATAGCTATTGGGAACACCCTCGGTGTGACCTCATCAGAAGCTCTCGTTACATGACACCAGCCAGGATTGGCTGGAACTAAGCCTGTCAGTGTCAAGGAGGGCCCCCTGTATATATAGGGCTGTTGCTGCACTGACAGTTTATTCACAAACATCTTCTCACAACAAAAAGAAGTTCCCTCCAGCTCTCTCAAGAACGGTCTCTCTTTCAGAGCCAAACTAAACTGTCCGTAGACAAGAGTGCGAGCTCAGTCGCTGGGCGCTTTGCTCTGGGTCAGCACAGCATCATAAATGGTAAATGGACTGTACTTATAGAGCACCTTTCTATCTTATCAAGACACTCAAAGCTCTTTAAACTACAATCTGTGCCTCATTGACCCATTCATACAGCTCTATACTAGATCTACAAAGATAATTGAACAAATCATTCTAAAGAGACTGATCAGAGCTTTATCAATTCATACACTGATGGGACACACATCAGAGGCAACGAGGGGTTCAGTGTCTTGCCAAGGGACACTTCAACATGTGACTGCTGGTGGATTCGAACCCCCAACTCTTGCATTGGAGGACGACTGCTCTAACCACTGAGCCACAGCCGCCCTTGCTTATGGCTTAATTAATGTTTATTCATTATAACTCTGGTTTTACTTGGCCTATCAACATGATTTAAAAACTGGTGTGTAGATTAAAGTCTGTACTTTCAAAAAATTAAATGGAGTCTCTGAGAAGCTGCATCTTTCCCATAAGAGTGACTGAAATCAGTCATGTTATAAATATATGCTGCCACGTTGATTGAATCCAAAGGTTAAATATTTTTTGTCAAAGTAGGTGGCACCAAACACTTGAGTATGCGGCAAAATCACCGTCTGCCACCTGTTATTGGGAAGGTAGAAGAAGATAATCTTAGTAAGTCTAACAGTCTGGCATGAAAAGTGATGGTCAATACGCATTCCTCCTAGAAGACTAGGCCTTTAGTTCCTTAAAAAAGAATCAACCTGAGCTTGACATATGACTGCAACCACTTGCCAGCTGTCATAGATCAAAACGGTACAAGTGCTCAGGCTGAACGTCTATAAAGCTCTTCCAAACGTCACACATCCAACACAACTACCGGTTACCGTTCATCGAGCAGACGGAGAAGGGGAAGCATTTACACACAAGCATGTCTTTCACCAAACTTTGATCAAACACAAACAACATGCTTGTAAGATGAGATATGTAGGCCTGTCGCGATAAACAATACATCAATTAATTGCATGATAAATGAAAATGATCAACCTCATTCTCATTTATCGTCTTTATTGTTTCTTTGCGTCTCTCTCTTTCTTCTGAACACACCGGATGAGAAAATACTCAACTCCGGTTCTTCACTGACCCCTCCCTTTCTCTTTTCTTTTAAATCTGTTTTCATGATCCAAAATCGCGTTTTTGGATCATGAAAAGCAGCTAAGCTACGAGCTAAGCTAACAAGCCGACCTCAGGCAAAAAACTCTGTCTTGTCGAAGCTCCAAAATTCAAGGTTGAAACCCGTGCCTTCGTCTAAAAAGTTGTTTGTCTCTGCAAAAAGAAGCTGACAACTTGTTTACTGATTTTTTTAATTAAAAGCTTTGTGTGAAAAATGCTTAAGAGCTCAAACCACACCGAGCGTCTGCCATTTTGAGAACCGAATAAAGGAAGGAGATGGACCACGTCACGTCAAGGGGCCTCCCTCCCATTTTTCTTAGAGACACGCTGCTCGCTCCCTTGCTATCCATCCTTCAGTTCAGTCTTATTCGGTGGTCAAAAAAGGTACTACATACAAAAACGAACAACAATTCTTCTAAAATTTGACAATTACTTATTATTGTCAAATTTCAAAGAATATTATTGTTTATTGCAATAATTTCTGAAACAATTAATCACCCAGCAAAATTTGTTACTGTTACCTAAAGATATGATGATTATTTGAATCGTTCATTGGTTTAAAGTGTATAAAACCAAGGGCCACACATCAAACCTTCTTTTAGAGCACTGGAGGATTTTAATCAGTCATTTAGTTAAACTTAGAAACAATGATGAGGATCTTTATTGCACAACACAGAGCACATTACTTGAATTGACTAAAGCCAGTAAAAATGTTCACTGCTTAAATTTCAAATCACATACAAATTAGAAACTGTACTCTGGCTGTCAAGAAATAGATTTTCAAAAATAAATCCAAGCAGTGACTGTGAATGATTTATAGAAGTCAGTGACGGTCTGCAAACTGTGCATCTGTGAAAAACAACAGATATTTCCTGTCTGTAATATTTTCATGAGGAGCAGACAGAAACCCTCCTGCTTGGTGCACATCAAATTATATGCAAATTAAAACATTTTCTAATGCAACACAAGCGATCAGAGAGAGCATCATCGAGTAAATCTGCAAACAAAAGAAAAACACTTTTCCGTGGAAAAGAGCTAAGATCAACCAAATCACTGCACAAAGGAGCTGCTTTCATTTGGTGCTGGAACAAAGAAAACAAGATTTCAGAAATGTGCAGTATTTAATGACAAGTGTGCTCAACAATATGAACTGCAGCTGAAACACTGATTAATATGTTTATTAATATGTTATAAGTTTATTAATATATAATAAACTTTTAGTTACACACATTTCTGTGTGGACTAAGGTTGATTAGCTGTGGCAGCCATCTTTAATTGGGTTGACTTTAAAAGTTAATCAGTTCTAGATGTACATCCAACGATGACTGAGGATTTCATTAAAATATGTGATGAAAATAATGTGAATCGTGATATTTTGTACAGTAATTTAAAGTCATAGTTGTATCCGTGTTAAACTTTTACAGTATTTTGAAAAAAAATCTAATTTGTTACAGCAGCAGAATTGCAAAAAGATACAAAACATATTTGAAACTGATGAGGTTTTCTTATAAAAGTTGCTTGTTTAGCTACAAATTTAGCAACAATTTTGCACACCAGCAACAACAAACCTCTTCAAAATCAAACTTTAATGATCTTTTTCTGCCACCAGGCTGACCGATACCTGGACCGATACCTGGACTTATACCTGGACCGATACCTGGACCGATACCTGGACCTATACCTGGACCTATACCTGGACCTATACCTGGACCTTTACCTGGACTTATACCTGGACCTGGACTGATACCTGGACCGATACCTGGACCTATACCTGGACTTATACCTGGACCTGGACCGATACCTGGACCTATACCTGGAAATATACCTGGACCTGGACCATACCTGGACCGATACCTGGACCTATACCTGGACCTATACCTGGACTTATACTTGGACCATACCTGGACCTATACCTGGACTTATACCTGGACCTGGACAGATTCCTGGACAGATACCTGGACAGATACCTGGACCTATGCCTGGACCTATGCCTGGACCGATACCTGGCCCTATACCTGGACTGATACCTGGACCGATACCTGGACCTATACCTGGACCTATGCCTGGACCTATGCCTGGACCGATACCTGGACCTATGCCTGGACCTATGCCTGGACCGATACCTGGACCTATACCTGGACCGATACCTGGACCTATACCTGGACCTATGCATGGACCGATACCTGGACCGATAACAGGACCGATACCTGGACCTATATCTGGACCTATACCTGGACCTATCCACCTTATTCCGGATTTGGCGCCACTACCCATAATTCATAGCGGAAGCCGGTTGTTTACTTCCGCCCGCGATCCCGCGCTGTTGTTTACGTTTGTGGGTTAACACACTTGCTAGCAATTTAATGTTTTTGACACAAAAGTTTCCTTTACCTGAAGTAAATGGCAGCACATCAGAGGTGGATACATTGCAAGGATGTTTTAAAAAGCTGCGAAGATAAGTCGTTAACTGTGTCTCACCCATCATTTCTCACGGACTGGGTAGATGATATGAAATCATGGCCCGGAATTACCTACATCGATATTATTAATTACCTTGTTTTTTCTGAAGGCGTCGATGGCGAGGAATTGCGGAATTATAAAAGCACAGAGGCGTATAATTACCTCCACAGCAACAAAATAGATACAGTTTTGCTCAAGAAACAAGGCGACTTTATCTTTCTGAAAGCAGCTGTTGAGCCGAGCCAGAGCGTTGGTCAAGCTAAACACTTAGCATGGGTCATGCTCAGAGAAAGTGGAGTGGTAGAAACGGTCGGCTGTTCCTGTATCGCCGGATTGGGAAAATCATGCAGTCATGCGGCAGCTATTCTGTGGAAGGTATATCACTTATCTGGATATCAGAATATTTACATCACTGAATCAGAATCACTGAACTGGGCGAAAGCTGTGAGCTTCCTGTCTGCCTGTGTTTACATGTGGAAGCCAGAGCATTGTGCAGCCTGTGATCTACTGTCACAAAAAATTAAACATTAAAAAGGCTGTACAGTATTTTTATATTATTTGTTTTTAAAAAAGTACAGACTGGATGCAAGGCAACCTAACATTTACAGAAAAGGAAAAAATAAATGACAACAGCAGGGATGTAAATAACTTGTTTCATTTTATTAGGAGCAGTGATAGCTGAAGTCTGTTAAATTGTTACAGGTCCAGAATGCTGTGATCAGTGGAAAGACGGGGCTAGCATGTACAGATGAGCAGCGCAGGTGGAATGCTGGGACAGCAAAGAATCTTCAACCCAAACGTCTAAGCATGATAAACTTCAGACACCACAAGGCAGAGCTGACACAAGAGTGTTAAATGTTTCTAACGCTATACCAGTGTACAGCAAAGCGTCTGCGTCATTTTGTAGAAGAAAAAATGCAACTTCATCACACTGAGTCGTCTTGTCCTGGACATCTTTTCTGCCAGACGTGTTGCAGTATTGATGATGATCTTTTAGCGAAGGGTCCTCCCACTGTGTGTGGACTGAGTGCAGATGTGGCCCAGGAGGTTGTGTGGAGACGCTAGCCAGGTCTGGGATGACTGACGGTGAATCTACGGTGCACTCTGAATAACACAAAAATACAAAATCAAATCAGCGTAACACAACCTGTCAAGTGTCACTTACCTTATTACGTTTTAGGAAGGAAATTTGTAATTCCACACTCGTACACACATGATACATCTTAAATGTCAATAGTGCTGTTTTAGTGGGGCTTTAGCCCCCTTAAATTTTCCTAAGCCCCATCAAATTATGCTATAATATCAAAATATTGTGATTAGATTTTAGTTTTTCATCCTTAAAAAAATCAGTTGGAGCTAGGTTGCATTTAAGCTTTTTCTTTAAAGAGTTTAAAAGAAGTTTTTTTTTCAGCTGTGTCTGTTTCAAATAACCTGCCTCTAATAACTCAACATATTCTTTATTAACAAAATCCCCAGACTTTTACAGCCCTGGGGGCTGAATTTTACCAGGTTGCTAAATAAAAAGCTATTCTCGGACAGTTACATGAAATCATATACATCTCTGCTAGCATGCTACTGATGTTAATTACTAACCACTTTGTCTTTAAGATTTGGATTTGGCTGCCAATCAAGTACTTTCTCTTAGTGATAAAGTATTTTGGAATTAAATTAATAATACACTAACATCCACAATAACACTGCAACCAGCTAGCGCTGATGCTAACACCATCCACAGTATAGTAATTATAACATTACAATTATAACATTAATAATAATATAATTCAGTAAAAGATAAGAGCTAAGCATGATTAAAATGTGAAGCGGGGACAAATCACATTTTCAATTTCACTCACCGGGAACAGATTCGGCCGTTTTGTCGATGTTGCTGGAAGCTGTCTGGCTCACAGTGGTCCGGATGAGCTGCCTTCTTTTCTTTGGTGGGGCCCGGTCATAGCCCAGATAGAGCTCCGGGTCGGGGTGAAGCTCTGTGGGCTTTTTATCAATAAAATGAAAGGAGCAAACATAAACTCTCTTCGGGGGGTATTTGAGTTTTAAAGCTGCCAGCCACGCTCGTTTTCGATCCTCCTTCCTCGGCATGGAGTGCAGTTCGTAACGCGCTGGGCACACACAGGCCTTTCGAAGTTGTTGATGTGCAAAACAATACGTTTCTAGCTCGTCTTTCAGTTTTCTGGAGCTGTTGTGACAGCCAACAACAGCACAAGTTGAACCCGAACTCATATTAGAATTGTTTAAGCCTCCTGCTACAGCACAAATTACTAGAATTTGTCATTAGCAAAAGTGCCTGTCATTAGCAAAAGTGCCTCTCGCTTTAGCTCACCGGAAGTATAAAACCGGGAGGGGGCGGTACCTGTCTGTCATGGCAGCCCACATACGCTCTTGCAGAATAAGGTGGATACCTGGACCGATAACAGGACCTATAACTGGACCGATACCTGGACCGATACCTGGGCCGATACCTGGACCGATACCTGGACCTATACCTGGACCGATAACAGGACCTATACCTGGACCGATACCTGGACTGATACCTGGACCGATAACAGGACCTATACCTGGACCAATAACAGGACCTATACCTGGACCTATACCTGGACCTATACCTGGACCGACAACAGGACCTATACCTGGACCGATACCAGGACCTATACCTGGACCGATACCAGGACCTATACCTGGACCGATACCTGGACCGATACCTGGACCTATACC